GGTTTCACCATTCATGATATTCACTTTCAAAAACAATACGGTATGTACAGTTAACTAAGGTCCATTTTTAAGCTGGGGAATAGATGCAAACCCCCACCCCCCCAGCACATAATTGTTTGTTCTTTTTCTCTCTGTTAAGAAAGCAGTGTCTTTTTCTCCAAAAAACCTAAAACAAATGACTCTTTCAGTAGCAATGTGCTTACCAGGAATTCAGACTGTGCTGGATATCCCAGAACCTCGTGGGTTTGAATGCAGGCCATATTCTTAGCCAGCTTTACACTGCTGGTGGCTCCAGGACAGTGAGGCTGGTTGGCGGCTCCTGTGATCTGTGCAGTGCTGTGAAAAAGGGCCACCAGCTGGCCAGACTGTGTATTTCACACTGTCGTCTTCATAACCCCCTCTGTGGGGGGAGCGTACATTGAGGACAGTAATACACAAGACAAACTGTAAAAATAGTGAACTGTGGAGAGAAAAACAAGACTGAGGCTTTGACCTAATTTATTTTATGTATTTACTTCATTGTAAATAAAAATTTTTGACTATGTCTCAGTGAGTGGAAGCTTTTAAGTTATTCACTAGTTTTATGTTGCAAAATCAGAATCCAAAAATTTTTAAATTTTGCATGCAAACTTGTGGATGTGCCCTAAAAGTGGAGATGTAATTATCAGGCTTATTTGTTTCAAATGCCTTGATTTCTTTTTTCTTCACATAGCACCAAATCTTAGTGATGACCAGTGAAGCAGAGGAGGAGGAGAGGAGCTGTGAGCAAGGAGATCCTGACGCTCCTGTGAGCATGGAGGGGCAGCTGTATGTCAACGTCTCCCCTCTGATTGGCAGTCACAGCCAGTGTGCCCCGGAGGCCGTGGGAAGGCCCCGTTCCCGCAGCTATGATCGCAGCCTAGACGCATCACTCTCCTTGGAGCGCATGCTGAGCTGCCCCATGCGCCTGAGCGAGGGAAGTCCCCACTGCCCCCCCCGTGTCACCTCCTTCGCAGAGATCGCCCGCAGCAAGAAACGGGGTTCAGCGAATCACAGGGAGATCTCATCTACTCGCTCTCACTCCGCTCTGGAGTTCCCTCCTGTCCTGGAACTCAAGCAGTCAGCCAAGGACGACGGCCTGCAGTCGCAGCTCCTCACACGCTGCTACAGCCAAGGCAGCTGCTACGCGGCGACGCCGCTCCACCCACATTCCCAGCTAGGTGGTTTGCCCAGTGCGGAATCCTGTGAGATGTGTACCAGCGCTGAAGGTATGAATTAGCAACAAAGCCTGTTTCTTGTGTGTGTATGTGCGTATATGCATGTGCGTGTGACATGACATAATTTCGGAAGAATGCTTGAGGATATGTGTTGTTATTTTACAATGTACATCTATCTGGAAGGTAGTATATTTGCTCAGAAAACAGAATTCAGCATTAGAAGATATCCCAATTAAGGGTAACACATTATAAACTAAAATGAATTCTCCAAAAGTTACTGATATCTTGCTGGATGGTTAGAACACGAAACTTTTCCTTGAGGGTACCTTAGCCATTCCATGTGTTCCTTAAATTTCACCAACAGCTAAATTAATTAATTAATTAAATGGTAACTTTCCATGAATGCCATGTGTATTAGTATCTATGAACACATTCATAGCACATTATAATGCATTCAGAAAGCTTTATAAGCATAGCTATATTTATATAAAAAAGGCATAAAACATTATAACGTGTTTTTTTATGCATTACGAATGCTGTCATCTATTATGCACTGTAGATATCTCTATAATACAGTACAAAGCATCTTTAATGCTTATACCGACCTTTAAAATGCAATAACATGGTATATGTAATAGGGCTGGGCAATAATAATGATAAATATTATTATTATTATTATTGTTGTTATTATTATTATTGCCCTCGTAGTTTACTGATAAGGTTTGTACTGTGAATATGCTCGACTATTAAAGCTGGGATATCTCTAATGAAAGAGTGTATATCTTATCTTCATGATTTTAAAATAACTGATTTACAGGTCATTTATTGAATATTTCAAACAACTGAAATCAAAACACACTTCGCTTGAAATGAAGATGTCTTCTAAATTTTAGTTCTAATGTAAAAAGCATATTCCCAGACAAGCGGGAAAATAAATAGTGTGCATTTTTTGCAAATAAAATTAATTATTTTAGATATTTTTAGTGTTGAAACCAATTGGTGGTATTACCTTTGGTCACCAAAACTATTTTTCCGCAGTCTTTACGTTTGACTTCTTTTTGTTCATCTTCACTAAAGCCACAATGTGTCCATTTGGGCATTTTTCTTTGGTATAAGCTGCTGGAGTTGCTCATTCAGCTGAGTTTCTCTACATGTTGTTTCCATGTCACAGGCTGGATGGGGTCACTTGATAACAAGGTTATAGTATGTTTTTAAGGGGACAGTACATGAACTCACACTGGGGTGACAATAAAAAGATATTAACAGAATAGAAACAAATACAAAATAACGAACATGAGCAAGATTAAATTGATTACAGGTTATTAATGTTGGTTTTGATTAATTTTCAATTAACTACCCAGCCCTAATCTACAATGCGTTACAGATAAGAGCATCAACTTATGAAGTATTATAATTAACATTATAATGCCTTATGAGTGTCAAAAGGAGATTCTGTAGTGCTTTATTAATTCTTATATTGACCACTATGAAGGTATCTATAATGCATGATTGATGACAGCTTTATGTGTTTCCAGTTCAATTACCTCAAAAACTCAGAGGTACTGATTTGCCATACCAGGCGTGTTAGTGCTTGTGTCAAAAAATACATGGATGTTTTGCAGGGGTGGGGAACCTGATCCTTAGAGTGTCGGTGTGGGTGCGGTTTTTCGGGATTACCTCTCAATCAGCCAATAACAGTGGGTCCCCAGGACTGGAGTTGAGAGCCACTGTTTTATTATTGGCTGATTGAGAGGTCATCCCAAAAACCTGCACCCACAGCAGCCCTCCATGGAACAGGTTCCCCAACTGTGGTGTAGTAACTGCACATATTGAGGTAAATTTAGCAGATGTTTTGAAATGGCTAAGCTAACACACTTTAACAGACATAGTATCATAGTTTTACACCACCATCTACACACCATTTGCTGTGACTACCTAACACTTTAGCTCAGTACTGTAGATCTCTATAAACCTTAGACAACAGAGTGTTTGGAAATCCCTGTTTCTGAGATGCTGGAGCCACCACAAATGGCACCAACAATCATACCACCTTCAAAACCACTCACATCACACATGTTAGTCATTCCAATGCCTAGTCAGGGTGTAAGTGAATTTCTCCACCCTTTGCAGTAGGCATTCGGTTGCAGCCGCATGATTAGCTGTTTGGAGAAGAAGGATGTTTGTGCTAACAAGTGGGTGTATGTAAAAAACAGGCCTCTGAGTGCGTACTTGTATATTCATTCTTCAAATTAGGTCAATGTCTGTACAGCCCCATCTTATTTTTGAAGTCATTTGCCTTAATTATTCAGTCATTCTACCAGCTCAGTCTGTTTGAAGGGATCAAAGTCCAGGGTCCGCACCGTGATTAGAATGACGGATAGACAGGTACCCCAGACTGCTGTGGTGAACTGGTAGACCTGTGGTTGGTCTGGGCACACACAGCACTTATGGCATTTCTTACTTGTATGTTTCAGTGAGGTGAATTTGGCCAGCCCTCAGATATGCTCTCCACCATAAAGTAAAGGCTGAGTCTTCCTTAGCCTAGATTAGATTTTAATGACACAATAACGGATATGTAAACTTTCAGGTGCCTTCTGAGCCATTACGTAGACCTACAAGGCAGTGTAATGCATATATACAAATATATACATATATGTATATGTGTATATACATGCGTGCACACACACAAATAGCTGTGTTAAGGGAGCACTTTATATTTTTAAATGGATATGTATTTTTAAATTCTGGTTTAATGGTGGTTCTGCTGGCAGGAGGCTACGCTGAGCAGCAGGTTGCTTCCAGGTTCAAAATTTCTAAAACAGCAGCACACAAGAACAAGGTGAAGCAGGACACTCTGGGAATGACCAGAAACCAGCCAGGTAGCGGGTGGAAGCGACATTCTAATGCCAGAGATGATTGTTAACTTATCCGACCGTTTCTCATGAATTGGAGGATAACATCAAGTGACCTTCAGAAGGAATGGGACACATTAAGTGCAGGTGTGAAGTGCACTGCTAGGACAGTTCGTATCAGACTCCTAGAAGCAGGACTGAAGTCCCGTAAAGCAAGAAGAAGCCCTTCATCAATGAGAAACAGGGAACAACCAGGCTGAAAAATGCTAAATAGTAAGCAAATGCATCTGTGACTTCACATAATAGGAAAACAAAACCGTTATGCTAACTAACTGGATTATTGTTAGCTTCCCCTGTAAAAATATAGCAACATAAATGTGTACCAGTCATCTAGATAAATATGACCAGAATCCTGAGACAGTTACGCTACGGTCTGTGTGTAAAGTCTGGCTGACATATGAAGTAATATCTAATAATTTTATTATAAATATATGAATGTACTTTACCTTGAATTTTATAAAAAACATTTGAATCTACTGTTTCAAAATGTTAAATGAAGGCTTTCATTCATGTAGTTAAAAGTGCAGTGTCAGAATTTGGTAGCCTTCACCTTTGTCCAGCTGATATGTCGTCACACCCAGTCACCATGAGCACTATCAATGGGAACAGATTCCTCAAGGTGCTGCTTACAGCACAGCAGGGCTTGTGCTGATAGGCCCAGCCCGATGACCGTGTCATACAGGAAGGCGGGGCCTCACTGCAGAATGTGTCATCAGAGCCCAGTGCTGCTGTTTACTGTCAGCACAGTACCTCAGGAGCTGCTAAGTTACCAATCAGGGCTGACAAACAAGAAGCTCAGAGACTCAGGGTTTCTTATACAGGAAATGTTCACACATCAGGAAGAAATAATGAAACCTGTGTTCTGTGGGGAAGTCAGATAGGATGAGAAAATTTGTGTAGAGAATTTTTAGGAATGGGCAGTATTTTTGCAAGGTGCTCTTCATAGTCTAGCACACGAGCTGTGTGTGTTATGAAGGCGTCTGCTGTTTTGGTGGCTCAACACTTCCCCTTGTGGACAAGAGGCCATATTAAGAAACCGGAGGTGACATTTAAGGGAAAGAGCATGTGAGACAAACAGATTGTGCAATCCCTGAGTCTGGTTTGTATTGAAGTCTGAGCACACAAGGAAGGGAATACACAGAAACGGTTTGTGTGCTCTTTTTGATTCAGGTTTTACTGTGATCATTACCGTATGCTGTGGAACTATTGTTTTTTGTTTAGTAGACTAACATCATCTTACTGTTAGCTTAGCGTTAGTAGTTTATTTTACTTCCTGTTTTAGAATTCTGTATTGTTTACTAGTACACTATTATTTTTCCATGAATTTCTATGATTTCAATTCCTATATTTATTGTGAGTCAGTAATAGCGAAAATTGATGTGAGTGTAAAGTCTTTATTCAAGAATGGGTTTGGAGAACATTAATCCAGAATAAAAATAATAGCCGCAATGTGACTCTGGGAGGACTGTAGACTCACACCTCCAGGGTGCTGGGTTTGATACGTGGCCCAGCTCTGTGTGGGCGGAGCTTGCATCTTCTCCTGTGTTTGCATTGGTTTCCTCTGCGTACTCCTGTTTCCTCCCATATTCTAAAAACCAGGTTTTGTGAATTGCCATTTCTAAATTGCCCGTGTGTGTGAGAGTGTATGTCCTATGAAGGGCTGATGTCTCATCCAGGGTGTTTCTTTTGCTTTGGATAAGCTCCAAAGCTCAACAAGTGCAGTGTTGCATTTGAATTATAACTCTAGATTTGGATAAATGCAAAAGGAAATGAAACCCTGTATTGCTTAAGTGCTTATGAAATTGACTGGGCAAAGTTGCGCTCTTTTAGTCTCCATCTTTTCTTTCTGGTAACAGTCTTATTCTCTGTCCTTTCTGTCCCATGTCAGTCGGCTGGTCCCCATCATCCGATGGTTCTCCTTCAGTGGTACGTTACAGCAAGGACAAGCGGCCCAACACCCTTCCCATCCAGCCCTTTATGTTCCAGCACCAGGTGGGCAAGTCCCACAGCCAGCTGCTGCGGCCACTGCTGAGCGAGTACGTCAGCCAGATGCAGACCCGAGCCAGGGGCAAGCGGACCACCCAAGGGGGCGAGGAGCCCGTGGAAGGCCCGGCGAGGAGACAGGTCATGGCCCCGGGCTCCGTCCGGCCCTCCCCACTTGGAAGTTACTCCCCAGTCCGCCAGCATGGGAATCCCAGCTTGGAGACCTGCTCCGCTTGCAGCCTGAGCCCAGAGAGTGGCCAAGGAAGCTCAAGAGCCCCACTCAGTCTCTCCTTCCCAGACACTACTGACCCTCTGCCCCTCTTGGCCACCCCCTGGTGCCCGCTGCAGTCGAGCCAGGCTCAGGGGCACAGCCTTGTTCACGGACAGCCTCCCGCCACCCCAGCTCCCCCTCCCTTGAAGAACGCTTTGTCATCTCCGCTACTGCCTGTCGCTTCAGTTAGCTGCATCCAGCAGACCTCCCCGGCCACCAAGCCCAATCCTCTGGAACCAACCCACACGTATGGCAGCAGCCAACGGATGAAAGCCTCTGTTGCTGACTGCTCAGGGCCCACACTGTCCAAAAGTATGTGTCTCCAACTCTGTTTGCTTTTGAAAAAACTTATTCTCGCTAATAACAGGGTTCAGTCATACTTTTTGGCAACAGAATGCCATTATTCTCTTCAGATGGTACCTGACAACGCCTGTTTCCCTCAGACTGTCGCCATCAGTCCCATTCGTCATTTCCTTTTGTCTTTTCTCCTGTTATTCCCGTTTCTGTGCTTTGTTATGAGTTTTGTCAGCAAATGACCAGACTTAAATTCTGACATCTAGATTTAATTCATGGTTAACATACATTTTTGTTTGTTTGTTTTGTACAAGGCGACCTACAAACCAGGCAGATTCGTCAGCATTATTTTGTCAATTTATTCTAAACCAAAAAGTTAAACGCATAGCCACAAGAATAATTAGTTTTTTTATTATTTACAAAATTATAAGCAGAATATATAATTTAACAGGACAAAATGTTTGTGTGATGGTTGGATCAACAAACAAAACTTGTGCGACTATAAAAATAGCAGAAATTGGCAGAGCTTTTGCTTTCATTATATAGAGTTCATGACCTCAGAGATTATCTTCATAAGTGATTTACTGTGATGGTCACACTGCATGCACAGAATTTATAGTGATTCGACAGCATTAGTTAACTGCCTTGTTTGACTGCCAACAACATATCCTTCATTTTACTTCAGATGCAGATTGTATCTAACGTAACATAGGTGTTACTAAAGATCTTTTGTTGACTTTACCCTTAGAATATTATAATTTTAATGGCTCCATGTAGCCATTTCTAGTTTAGGGCCAGCTCTCCATCCTCCAGCCCCAGATGGAGACAGGCCATATCTGCTCTGGCGTTCTCACATTTGCTGAATCCTACTTCACATGTGTGTGTGGCTCTGCAGGTTGGGTCAGTGTGTCTGTGATCAGAAGGTCACCCTGGTTCAAATCCCAGGTTCGGCAGAATAGTTTCACATTTTTATGGCCTTGAGGAAGGCCCTTAATCCCCAGTCGCTCCAGGGTCTATTTGACTCTGCTCTCTGTGTGTCCTTTTGGATAAAAACGTCTGCTAGAAAAATAAGTAAAACTGCCATGAAAGGTGACCACAAGCCAAGCTTTCAGGTAGCTGAAAGGCACAGAGTAAGAGGGACCATTGCAAAGGTTACACCAAGCTGTGTGGACCTGCTAACCTCATCACACTTCACTTTTTCCTTTTACAAGCTATTGCAGTGCTGTTGCAGTGTTGTTGCAGTGCTGTTTTGTGTGTGTGCTCTTTGATGGGCCCCCATCCTCTTTGCCCTGCCTTGTGCTCTGTCCAGGATGGATGGATGAATTGCAGTCATCAGAATGCAGGCCATTAGCATGAATTGCACTTTTTTGTAACATTTAATACTGAATATCCCTTGGATCTAATAACTCTGGATCTAACTTCGTTCCTGTCCTAATTACACTTTCTTCATTGTTTTCATAACTGCACTTGTGTATTCTCTCTGTCCTTTCCCATCGTTCATGTTGGTCCTTCCTTCTCTTTCTGCGATGTTTCCCCGCATTCTGTCCTTCTGTCTGTGTGTCTGGTCGACCTTCCACGCCCAACCCCCCCCCCGCCCCCAGTCTACCGCTTCTCCCCACAGGCTCTTAAGTGGCGGGAATATCGTCGTCTGAACCCGCTGGGGGTGGAGAAAGACTCTGAACTTCCGCCCGATGGCTGTCTCAGAGGAAAAAAGGGCGGGGGAATTCTAGCTTGGCGTAATGACTTTAATTTCCCAGCATCCTCCAGTCTTACTCAATCACTGCTCCATGTTGCTGTTTCTCATATTGGCTTGGGATGGAGGGGGTGCTTAGCTTAAAAGTTCCCTTCAGTGTTTCCATTTCAATCCAACCAACCTACCAGGCAGTTCTCAACTGACGTTAGTAATCCGTTCCAGAAACCCTTCCATAAGTCAAATTTTACTTAAGTCGGATTTACTATTCAGTACCATTCAGGACACCTTATAGCAAAAAAACACAAGCTAAAATATATGACTAATAAGACAAAGGTCAAATTTACAGGCATATGTTGCCTTTTTTTTGTTAATGCTTCTGTAAACTCTGTTTCTTGTATAATATTTGTGTAAGTCTGGATTTACTTAAACCGCTGTTACATAAATTGAGAGCTGCCTGTTTAGTCTTATTCTCTTTTTAGAAATAAGATTAACTGCCACTCCTGGTGAGAAGTGTATCTCTGAGAAGACTTTCAGGAGACATGTGTCCCTGTATGTGTGTGTTTTAGAGGTGCACCAGCACATAAAATTCACGGTTCGGTGAAATATGTAAAATAAATTTTTTAAATCAAAAATAAATCATCATAACAATCATAATGAACTAAATCCTGTGTAAACCCAGTGTACCCTCCTACCCAGTATGGTGGCATATCCGTAGTGATAAACACCCCTGTAGCCGTAATTCTTTTTTTTTTTTTTAGCTCGGTCTGAATTTCCTGACAAAAGCACCTTAGTGGGCACAGGGAGACGAATTTGAGGCTGTTTCTGCCTTCCTCTTGTTTTGGTTGTACACACTCTCGGATGACGTCACCTCAAATGTGATCGCACACCGGACGTGTTTCCAGCAACATATCCGAGTTTGGTATAACGTACCCGACAGCCAGTCTGAGTCTCATCAACTACACTCTCTCCAGTTCTGGTGTAATTTATTGGGAAACCAAAATGCTCCCGATTATTACTGACTGTAACCAGTATCAGCATAGTCTTTTCTGTCTTGAACATCCGCTTGTGAATTTAGGTTCCACCTGTATTCATCCATATCATTGTGCATACCGAACCAAACAGTACCTGAGGAGTATGTGTACCGTTACAGCCCTAGTATGTGTGTACGCTCATGGGGTGCGACTTTCCCCTCTGAAGGTCAGCCTCTGAAGCTGCTGCCACACCAGCACAGCGAGTCCGTACCTGATTATGTCTCCGAGAGGCCACCGGACGAATTCTGCCCGTCGCCCGATGGGACGTCCGAGTCTCTGTCCATTGACCTGCTGCAGAAGAAGGGTGAGCTGTCCTGTTGGGGATGGGGGGTGGGGACAGATCTAGCCAAACCAAGGTCTTCTTTGTGGAAAGACTGTAATACCTCCAATAGCAGCCCCACTGTCTGAGGTCTGTGTTCTTTGGTGATCACTGTTCTTTTTGATGAGATAAACTTTCCTTGAGTCAACTTATCACTTATGTTGTTTCATTATATTGTTTTACTTCTGCATAATTTGTTGCATTATCTTTATCCTTTGCAAATAAAAAGCTTTCATAATATTTTTATAACGTTTTTTTTCTCTTCCCCTATGAATCTTAGATCTGGTGAAAGCTCTGAACATTGCAGTGGATTTCATAGTGACTTATTTTGGTACAAGCCGGGATCCTGGAGTGAAGGTAGAATTGTTAACACTTTGTAGAGATACCACCAGTCTGTAAGGCAAAATTGTGTGAATCAGATAATAGTGCAGACTGCGGAATTATGCCTAAATGCATAGACCTGTTTCTTCGAAGGGGGCCTATTGTTGCATGAGCCATGTACTATCAGGTGGTAAATTAATGTCAAAGCTAATAATAATAATAATAATGGTCTACCCTTCTCTTTTCTCTTCAGGCAAAATTGGGAAACAGTTCCGTCAGCCCCAATATCGGACACCTGATTCTGAAGTACCTGTGTCCTGCCATTCGGGATGTCCTGCAAGATGGACTGCGAGGTTATGTCCTGGATTTAATCATCGGGCAGCGGCGGAACGTGCCCTGGGGTGTAGTGGAGGCCTCTGCACAGCTAGGTTCGTCGCTATGGAGAAAGGATTATGACGATACCATTGATGATCATTTTCCATAGTGATCCTGCATTTGAAAGGAGTGAAAATGGCAGTGCTGTTTTGCCATAACTAAGGTAGTAGATGATGGTGCTATACCACAGATGAAGTTGAACTTGCTGACTCTGAATTCTTTCCCACCCATCTATCTCCTTCCCCCCCCCTCCCAGGACCCTCCACACGTGTCATTCACGGTCTGTTCTCCAAAGTGAGCCAGTACTCTGAGCTGACTAATCACAGCATGAGGCTAAATGCCTTCATCTTTGGCTTGCTCAAGTAAGTAGCATTATCTCTTCTTATCAGTTTCTCTTGTTTCATTGTTTTTTCACTGTAGAAAATTATGGTAAGCGTGTAGCTTAGCACTGACTACATGTGGCCTTATTTTGAACATTAAAAATTACTCTGCACTGTCAGAAAAAAAGAAAGCAAGTTGCCTTCTTGTCACTGGAGCTGTACCCTCAAGGGTAAATGTACCTTTTAAGGTACAGAATTGGATTATGAGGAACCCTTTTGTACCATTGGGGGCACATTAATGTTGTTTGTACCTAGGGGATGTTCCTCCATTTCTGCACCTTAAATTACAGTAAAAGGGGAACGCATTACATTAAGTGTGCTTTACATTAAGTGCAAGGGATTCATTATGCATTCATAGAACATTCAGTGCACCTTCATAATGCATTCATAATACATTCATATGCAACATGCAAGTACTCCTAACATCCCTTAACAGCTTTAATATACTTTAATAACAAACATTACATGATTATACAATTATAATGTTTGTTATTATTATATAATGTTTGTTATTAATGTCTATTGCAGCTGTTAAGGGATGTTAGGATGTTAAGGTATACATACATGATGTTTATGAATGTTTTATGAATAGTTACTGAATACATTATGAAGGTGCACTGAACGTTTTATGAATGCAATATAAAAGAATTATGAAGGTGCAGTTAATGTAAAGCATTTCTCTAAAACAGGAGTAACCAACCTTTTTGAAACTGAGAGCTACTTCACAGGTACTGAGCCATACGAAGGGCTACCAGTTTGAAACGCCCTCCTAAACTTATCTAAACTTCATGTACAATAATCATGTTTTAAATGCTTTTTTTTTAGATATTGTCATTTTCAAATGTAAATGTGATTAAAGAAGAATAGCAACAGGATAAAATTAAATGGTAACACTTTAATTGAAGCAGTCTACATAAAGGTGACATGTAACCGTCATAAGAATGACATGACACATGTCATGCACATTAATGACATATTATTGATGTTTATGACTGTTGTCATAAACATTACTGTTGTCATAATGTGTCATTCGGTTTTTGGAACTGAATGACACATTTATGACAGTTGGCAGACCCTACACTGGGGTACAGCCCCACTGACAAGCAAAGGTACAAATCAGTACTTTGTCTTTCTGACAGAGTAGATTCGAAACCAAAGAGAAGTATAGAAAAAATAAGCATTGATTAGCAAAAGGAATAATAGGGTTGAACTTTTCCTGTTTTTCATTTAGTAACAATGCTAACCTATTGAAGATAAATGGTTGTAATTCATTAAATCAGTAAAGAGTATTGTGACTAAAATAAAAACATTTCTGTCAAGTTCTGTTCCAAGGTCTCTTTAGTGCTAATTATTAATCATGTTCATTCTTTAACAGCTTACAATCACTGGAATTTTGGTTCAATCATCTCTTTACTCATGAGGGTATGTATGTATGTATGAGAAAAGCAGAACAGCCTGCATATTTTGGTTCTCTACTCTCCCAGCTTCCCAGTGCTAATGGTGCTTCCCCTCTCCCTCTTCTCAGACATCATCACAATGCATTACCACCCCTGGGGCTTCTTACCACTATCGCAAGGCATCTGTCAGCCACTGTTCCAGGAGCTACTTCTGCTTCTGCAGCCGCTGTCCCTGCTGCCCTTTGACCTGGACCTTCTGTTTGAGCCCCAACTTCTGCAGAAGGGTCAAGACCATATCCGGAACAAAGAGCAGTTATGTTCTACTGGCCTGGGGCTGGAGCGGTCTGCGCGCTCCACCTTCCAGTTAATGAAGGCCTGGGGTAAAGCTGGAGTGGAGACCAAGAGTGCGAGAACAGAGGCCAGAAGAGAAGAGCAGGGGGTAGAAAAAGAAGTGATGGAGTTGAACCGGAAGGGTCCATCGCGCAATACTGGGGGCGTTGAGCCAAAAAAAGATGGAACTGAACAACAGAGAGGGAGCAGTTTTGAGACCCAGAAAGAGGGAATGGAGTCAGATATTATAAAGCCAGTAAGAGAAGGAGGTTGGAGGCTGGCACAAAATGAGACGGACTATTCACACAAATGTTGTGGAGACAGGGGAGCAGAAGAAGGAAAGGCAGTGCAGAAAATGAAAGGTTTTGAGGTAGAGGCTTGGTCAGAGCGACCTGCAGAGGGCGAGAAGGACAAGAAGATCAATGCGGACAGACAGAGAGACAGGCAAGCAGGCTGGTGGTACCAGCTGATGCAGAGCTCTCAGGTCTATATTGAAAACTCTACAGAAGGGTCAAAATTTGTGAAATGGGAAAAGAGGAAGAAGCGAAGTGGAACTGGGGAGGCAGAGGCGGGGCATGGACAGAGCCGGCCCCCTCCTAGAGAGGGCGTGGTGGAAGGGGCCGAGGCCAATGATAGGGATGGAGCGGTGAAGGACCTGAGCAGTGAAAGCAGCTGTAGAGCGAATGACATCCACGGCAAAGGGAGGCCTTTCGGGACGGGTAGCATTCCGGAGTCAGGGCTGAATGAGCAGAGGAAGACTACAGAGAAAGAGGCATGCATGGCTGTGGCCCCTGGGGGAGGACAGGAGAGCACGATGTGGTGGAGCAGGCTCTTTGGGTCAGGGGCGAGGAACCCTGCACCAGCAGACAGGGAAGATCAGGGCCTCGTCAAATCTCAGAAAAACAGGTAAAAAAAAATCTCACTTTACTAAGTGCCAACGCGGCGTGTATTCAGATAACACAAACATTAAAATAACCCCTGCTATGTTTGTACCTCTAAGGCTGCCATCAGGATGGCTCAGTCTGGACAAATCAGTGCTAGACTTTGTGGCTCAGGCAGTGGGAGTGGGAAAGCGTCCAGACGCCGCTGTTCCTTCCCAGGGCCCTGGCCTGACTACAGCGCAGCAATGCAGTAATGCGGTAATGGAGACCAGCAAGCAGCCAGCGTCATGGTACCTTACTGCGTTTCTCACTCAAGTGATAGATTTTATGTGTTTATCTAAGTTTAACGTACCAGATTTTTATGTATATCTATAAGTACGATATAAGTGATGGCTATATACATATATACTGTGATATGTATGTAGTGTACAGTGCTACCTCGGTATAATGTAATATAAACCAGGCTTCAAAGCTAGATCATCAGTATAACAACGCTTATTAAAACAATAAACGTAGTGTTTGTTCCTAGTCAATGCAAAGTAATGTGAGAACCCTTTTCTTGAGAATCTCTTGGGCATTCTTCAAATTCTTCAAACCAAGTGGTTTCTATTGAGCAATTTACACTGATTTTTGGGAGCCGTGATGATAATAAGCACATTGTGCATGAAGTGGTGTCATATCGGGGAATGTCATACCGACGTTGTGCTGCTACTCCTTCCCCTCTCTCTTCATGTGTTTCCCTGTGACGGGCTCCTCTTCGCTCATACTTTTTTGTTACTGATGCTCTGTTTCCCAGGAAGGTCCGGGCCTTGTGTCACCACCTTGCCACCGAGCCGGGACACCTGAGCTTCAAGAAGGGAGACCTGCTGCAGGTGCAGACCCGCGCTGACCCCGACTGGCTGCGCTGTGTTCTGGGCGACAGTGTGGGCCTCGTCCCCATCATCTACGTCACCCTGACGGAGGAGTCGCAGGAGTCTCAATAAACTCCTCGGCGTCTCAGCTGAGGAGAGCAGACTTGGGGGTGGGTGATGGTCACTAAATACCATGATGTGATTTTAAAAATTACAGTGCTGTCAACTTTATAGACAGGGATGGGCATGACTGGTGCACAAGTAAGCATTAATGGCATTAAACAAGTACACATTTGCGCTGCTATGACAAGAAATTACCGTTCATTTTAACCTTTATATTGTGAATGGGGACTGTACCAGTAATGTAAATCCCTGTACTGTATATAAATAAATTTAGTCTGGAGCCGATGTTGAACTAACTCTAAACCTAATATCCTAGAGTCACTAGGGAATCTACAGTATTCTGACAGGCATAAACTTACCTATAAACTTGTTACTTATAAATGAAGTTGGTTCCACACAAAGACAGTGGTACGACTCACCTTCTGTCTAGGTCTGAGTCTATGTTGCTGCAGTGAAGGAATGAGATAAAACTGAGTGTAAGAAAAGATGAGAAAGGGATTATAAAACACAGTATAGCCCTGCTGCTTAGTTTGAGGAGTACAGGTTAACCAGACGGGAGACGTCGGAAGCTTCTTGTCATGGTTTGGCATTCATACTGCTGAAGCCAGTTTCTGAAGCAAATTTCTTAAGTGACGCATAATACCCACCACTTCTTCTAAGAACAAACTAAGACTAAACCACCAGTTTCTTCAACGCTTGTGTGTAAGACACTTGTACAGTATTATTGTCTGTGGAATCTCACATTTTACATGGATCTGCTGATTAAGAATAACAATGAAGACTATGAATATGAGGCAATTATTAGATATTTATTTTTAAGTATATATTAATTAGCAACATTTAGCTTATGTATAGTAATTTTAGAGTCATCCAAAATGCAACATTTTTCTTGTTGAAACATTCGTCTCTCAGATGGGCTTTTAAAGCTCTTTACAGGGTAGCTGTTTATTCATTTATTTATTCCAAACAGTTTCATTTGGATTTTTGATAAGAAATGTTCGGGTAAACCAGAGAACATGAATCGCACAGCTCAATTTCAGTTACTGTCTTTGCCAGGGATTCAAGAAACACGATGATTCATAAAACTGCAGTATGTCAAAAGAAACCTTTGCCAAGTCTGTGAAAAAGAAATGGTAAAGACTGGTTTACCCTGTTTACCATTTACCATTGTTTTAAATACACATTTTTACAACTGGTACGGTTATGGATAAATCCAGTCAGAATACGGCCTGCTGTAAATAAAAGACACTCTTCATACTGTACATGCCTTGGAATGGCAGCAGCTTCCAAATAGCTGCATTTTTGCGTATGGAAAGTAGGAATATCTCCATTATTCCTATAATATCCCTACCAAGATTGTGGGAGACCTGTGTGTGTTTAGGGGGGTGTGGATTAGGGGTTGATTTGCTCCCTACCGATGTTGAAACCAAACATACACCCTTGATGTTTCCACACCTTATAATCGTGTCTTTTCTGTGGTATGAAAATAAGTGTCTTATTATGCCTATAGTGAATAGACAAAGACATTTCCTCTGGATAACAATCGTGACATGGTTATATGGGACACTGTGGCCCAGTGTCCAAGTCTAAACTCTGCTGCCTCAGCCTTAATCCTGGCAGTCCAGCCAGGAGGGATCAGTCCTGACAAGGAAGAGGCACCAATATCTTGTGCATGTACCTCATTAAGCAGTCGATGTTTTGTTCCCTTTCCCTGTGCCACTTAATTTCAGGGGCTGCCTATCCCTAGGGCAAGGGATGAAAATGCAATAAAAAAATGACAATAGGGCTTATATTTTTAATTATTTATGGCATCAGTCAACCTGTGTCCTATTTTCTTCTGAGGTTAATCTGTCATCTTTCTGTTGAAATCTTTCTTTTTATGAGCTGAGAAATGATGGTGGATGTTGATCCTTGGGCAAGTAAAGGGCAAAGGGTAAGATTTACAGCAGCAGCATGTTTCTAAGCTTATAAACCAGCATTTAACATCTGCGATGATGCATTGTTCATGCCCCAAATCTCCACCTGTGCATGAACTAAACGAGAAAGTAAAATAGTGTAGTTTGCAGTGCCAAATTTTTGTGAGCTTTTTGTAGATTTGGATTCCTCGGCAGGAACATGGGAAGTGGCCTTAATGATGAAATATATCTCTGCTGGCATTGCCAACAAGTTTTCAGTCATATCTTTGCATGGAGATTCATGGCAGTCCCCATTCAATTAGAGACAATTTATTGCCATTATTTTAGACCAAGGGTGGGACTGAAATGCGTTGGGCCTCCCTAGTGATTCTGGAACTCTCAGTGGTGAACAGGTACAATATTTAGAAGAGGATATACTGATAGCTAAGTATATGTAGGATATACTTAGCTTTAAACATTGTAAATAATAACAATAAAATAATAATAATAATAATAATAATAATAGTAATTAAAACAGAAACACTGAGTCTAATATACTCAAAAACTACATTTTTACTTTGGATGGGTAATACTGAGTACATTTTTTATTTTTAACATTTCATTTTCACCTGGATGTACAATTACATTATTTTTATATCATTTGTTGTAAAAACTAAATAATTTAATATTTTATTAACATAGAATTGTATATACATTTAGTTTATTTAATTGCACTTTTGAGGAAAAAACGTTCTAAAGGGAAATACGTTAATGTTCCACAGTTATTTAAAAAAGCATAAAATACAAACAAAAATACAGTACATGTTTGCATTACTCATTGTACTGGCTCACAATGCATCTTGTAAGTCCCAGCGAGTACCTTAATGGGGACAGGGTGATAAGAGAAGCGGTATGACACCTCTCCAGACACTGGATACCATTTCTGTTTGTTACCAAGACACACTATGTATATTGTATATATTTTTGTGAATGCTTTTGGCAGGAAGAATCAAAACTGGACCAATACTGTTGTTTATTACCCGAGCCTGCATGCAGAGTTAGGGGGAGTATGTAGAGAGAGTTTCTGTGCATGGCTCTTTAGCTAAAAGGAGAGTGTGAACTGGTGCTTCTCAGCAAGTTTCTCATGTTCAGCCTTCAGAATTCTCTAAGGAAGGCCCAGACAATTTCCTGCCATTTTTCTCCAAATTCACTTGCAGTTATGCTTACTCCTGCTTGTTGTTCAGGTGGTACAAATGTCTTACTATATCCATGCTCTGTAATGCGAATGGCCGTACAGTCATTTTCAACAAGGTGCTTATGTGAACATCTTTTATGGTATCATTTGCAAACATTTATAAAAATACATAAAATTCATTATAAAAATTGCTTGAGTTGTGTGTTGTTTGTCTGCCTACTTCTTGAAGAGTAATGTATGCTTTAGTCTGATGGACAAACAAGGATGCAGACTGTAGTGTGAAGCAATTTGGTCATCAGGCTTCTGCATCAAGCATAACTTTGAGTATGAATTCATCAGCGTTTCCGTTAACAAATTGCCCATGTTCTCTACTAAAAGGCAGTGCTTATACAGTATAAGCACCAAATGAAACTGCTTGTCAATGAACTTTTTAAACGCAGAACAGCTATCTCAGAACTCTAAACTGGGTTTTCATTTATTTTCTTGAAATGAACGTTTTACTTAAACTACTGGTTGTTTCTAATGATATACATAGTAAACAAATGAATAAATTAATTATTTTTGTTAGAAACCAATAAAAAAAATTTTTTTGCTAAATTAAGCAAGTGTCCACTGAGCTGCTAAAACTGCATAAATTTTCCACATTGTCGGTCCAATATCAAAGTGTAAGTCCGTATGGATTGTAAGACTCATTGACATTTACATTCTAAGTAACTTACTGTATGTGTGTGTTTATATATTATATTATATTATATTATATTATATTATATACTGATGGAACAAATAATAAGTGAAATTCTCATCTCATGTTGGTTCATCGTGTATTAATCTTGACCCATCGTTTATCTCAAGTAGCTACTATATTTGTTCATGATTTGTACTTCTGTAGTAACTGAGTTAATAAGTATTGGTGCCCTCTCAGGTAAAGTGGAAAAGTTATGGAAGAGACTGGGCAAATGAAGTTCAGAAGCACAACAGGTCTGCCTCCCTAAATGTGCATAAGGGTTAGTTTCATTAAGAAAAGCGTCATGAGAGATGTATCTAAGAATGAATATCCAAAAGAAGCAATTTTACTGGTGGAGTTGCTGAGAAAAATGACCTAGATAAAATGCACTAGCCTGCTGTAATTCAGAACAGTGGTTCAGTACAGTAGGTAGCACTGATACCTCACTATTTAAGGTTGGGGTATTGAATCCCACCTCTTCTGTGTTTGTGTAGAGTTTGCATGTTCTCCCTGTTTCCTCTATAAACTGTAGTATCCTTCTTGATTTCTGTTGCGACATTTAGATGTTAGGATTTGGTGTAAACAACATGAAAGCGTGGATCCGTCTTGCCTTGTATCAAAAACTCAGGTTAGGGTTGGTGGTATAATGGTGTGGAAAATATTTTCTTGCCAGACATTGGGCTCCGTAGTACCAGCTGAGCGTTGTTTAAAGCCTACCTGAGTATTGTTGTTGACAAGCAAATAAAATCAAATTTACATTTAAAGCACATTTAAACAGTAGCTGACCAATGTGCTGGACAGATAAGAATCACAGTAGAGGTATTTACAGGTTAGAAGCATGCACTGAGCCGCAGCCACCACACGACAAACCACCTCAGGGATGAGAACCTGAGTGCAGCCATGTGGCAGGTGATACCTCAGCACCACACTAGTACAAATGGATCAGTGTGAGGTTTTTTTCCAGTGGCTGGGGTGCCAATCCTGCCACCAACCCCCAAGTTATTCCTCCTTACAGGGCTGGATGTAGATTAACATCATACCCATGACAAAGCAACTGCAGGTTAAGGGCCTTGCTCAAGGGCCCAATGGAGTAGAATCACTCTGGGAATTCACAGGATTTGAACCAACAACTTTCCAGTTACTGGTATAGATCTCTAGCCTCAGAGCCACCACTCTATCCTTAATGGAGGTGTTTACATAAACAACAAAATTACAGCTTCAAAAACCAGTAGGTTTTCAGATGTGATTGAAAAACAGTCAGCTTTAGGCCAGATCTGATGCAAAAAGGTAAGGCATTCCATATTCTTGGGGCTGCCACTGCAAAACCTTAATTGGCTCTTGTCTTTAGACTTGCCCTAGGTGTGGCTAGCAGAAGCTGGTTGGCAGATCTGAGAGATCTAGTAGGTGTGTGATAGTATAGCAAAAAAAAATTATTTTAGCTGATAGAAACTAGTTTTCAAAATTGAGTTTATCTGTTTCTTCAGCTTTAGTGAGTCCTCAAATAACACTCCCAAATTTTTCATATGAGGTTTAGCAGACTACCTTGCGAGCTAACGTGTGACAAGACGAACAGCACAATTTCAATATTGTTGTCATTAAGTTTGAGAAGTTGTGTGACATCCATTGTTTAATATCATCTAAGTACAGTAGCCTAGTTTGTGCTTTTCTGGACTAGCAGACATAATCAAGGGGAAGATAAATTTGTGTATCACGATAGACAACCAAAATTAATTTGTGTATCATGATAGACAACCAAAATTAATTTGTGTATCACGATAGACAACCAAAATTAATTTGTGTATCAAAGGTAGAAAAATACTAGGATGGATCAATACAGTATATGAGTCTTTTTTATTCAAGACATATAATAAAACCAATTAATACACATATAATGGAAATCAATCATTTTAATATTACCATAAATACTATTTTGGTATGTGATATTTCTTATGATTGTACAATACCTTGACACAAAAAAAATCTCAGTGCAAAATTTAGAACAATATGAATCTGTTGTGAACCAACAAAATAGCATTCCAAGTCTGTAATTTTCAGTTTCAGCACGATGATGGCAAAAAAAAAATGAACAGGTTGATGAGTTAACAGGAGATTCATTAGTCAAAGTCTGTTTCCAGTATTTAAGGTCTGTTCCTCTAATTTCACCGATAATCTACTGATGAATGTGTTATATAAAAGTAAAGCATAGCATGAAGCATGAAGACATGGAAAAGGAACAAAAAGGGGAGTCTGGTATCTGGACTGTTGAGTCTCCGTCAGCTAGAAGAGGGCATGACCTTCACTGCCTTTTGGGTAAGCCACGGGCTCTCAGCCTCTTGCAGATTCTGTCCTGTAATGATGAGAATATTACCGATGAGTATTCATCAAACAGGGATTAAATGTACTCCAAAAAGGAGTGTACCACTATAAAGTCACCTGTGATTTTAAAAGTCTTTTACCTTTCCCGATTGAAGCCTTTGCTGATTGTTCTTAAAACTTGGCCTGACAGGCTAGACTAGAGTCTGCGCGGTGTTTCCAAAGATGTTTAAAATACCAATAATTTAACAAATTGTAATAATTTGTTGAATTGAGAAAGTTTATGAATAGCTGCAAAGTCTCTAGGAATCCAGTGTACACAACATTCCAAAGGCAGCAAGGAGGGGGTGTGTGTGTGTGTGTGTGTGTGTGTGTGTGTGTGTGTGTGTGTGTGTGTGTGTGTGTGTGTGTGNTGTGTGTGTGTGTGTGTGTGTGTGTGTGTGTGTGTGTGTGTGTGTGTGTGTGTGTGTGTGTGTGTGTGTGTGTGCAAAGAATAAAATCAGAGCGATGGAGTTACCTGGAATGAATTGGATTTGCATCTCTCAGTCTCTTTATCAATTCTGGCTACGACCTTCTTCACCCACTCGTCTGTGGCTGCTACACAGAGTTTCAAGCCTTTTCTGGTAATCAGGCTGAAACAAGTTAAAAATAACAACATATATTTATGTTCTGTTTTCAGCTTGTTTAAAAATGCATCATATTCCTTTTGCTATTTGAAGATGCACTCTGCACTTCTTTTGCTATTGTATCACAGCAAGCTGAGAAGCTAAACTATTTAAAATGTAATAAACTATGATCCAAAGTATAGGTTATCAGCAAAGATTGTGAAGTCTTCAACCTCTTGAAACAGCTGCTGTTAATTCTGCTTTATGTGTACCTTACAGGCAGTGAGATACATACACCACAGCATTGATCGCACATCCCTTGGCTATGTCCTGGATTTCATAGCCTGTCAAAAAGGAAAAGGCTATTTCCTTCTTGCCAACACTCAAACAGCAGTCATTGGCTAGCCCAGCCTGGGTCACTGTGAGAAAATAGACAGAGAAAAAGGGAAAATCTTCATTGGGTGAGAGTGAATCAAGAAGATTACTAGTTCACATCCTAAATAGGACACATTGCAAGCTACATCTGTCCGTCTATCCATCCATCCATAATCACTTTTTCAATGTAAAATCACAGTAAGCCTGTAGCTTCTTCCAGGAAGCACAGGGCACAATACACCTTTCGGGTTAATTGCAGGGAATGCAATTTGGACAATTCTGAGATGCCAGTTCTCCTAACAGGCCACTTTTGGTCCCCAGGAATGAAATACCTGGATGGAACCCATACAGACATATGGAGAACATTCAAGTTGTAAACCTTAAGAGCTGGAAGCAGGATTCACACACCCATCACTGAAGGTGTGAGGCTCCAGTGCTACCCAGTGAAATGCCATAAACATGTATCCATCTTCCAGGGTCGCAAAGAGCCTGGACCTTATTCTGCAGAGGACAGTGCATATTTCAAGGGAATACCCTAAGTGGGATGTCAGTTTTTAAAATTAATTTAGAAATCTTGCAAGTCACCAATGGTTCTAACAAACCATGCATTTGTGTGGGCCTCATGATAAATCTGGCATGAATCCCCCCCCCCACCCCGGCTCCCCTCTTGGCAAGTTTGACTGCACACTGATTAGTTTTGTTAATTCTGTGTCATTTGTCCTGTGTCTCTGAAAATGGCCCCAGTCAGTTGTCCACAAATAATCAGTACACTAGGGGGGGCTAATCGACTTTCTGAGTGAGCAGCAGACACAACAAACCCATTCCTGCAAGTGACATGTCTACAGTAACGAACAACAAAACTTTACATGCTTTATTTTGTGAAATGCATCTGGGAGTGGTTTTTATGGTGTCTGACCTGCACCATTTATTTTACTGTTTAATGTTACATGAATGTGGAACTTGCATAACCATTGCATGCCTTCGGGGTGCGAGAAAAGCTTCGCAATGCAGGAGGATGGATTGGTGCAGCAACCTGGAATGTTACTCCCTCTTGTGGAAATCATACACTATTGCAGGATGATCCGTTTGGCAGAAACACACACTAGCTATCAAATTCCCAAATTCAAATGTAGCTGTTTGCTTGCTCAAGAGAAGCATGACTTGTTAATATACCATTGCCATTAATTTTAATAAAATTTCAGTATCCTATGCAAAGGTAGCCACTGAAGAATTCTTTATTTCAAATTTAGACAAATATTAAAACAATGACTTTTAGGTAAATAAATAAGAGCAGTGGTGTTATTGTGCTATTTTGCAATTTGTGCTTTATTACACACACACACACATATAATTATGTCTGTGCATGTGTATGAAACAGACACACAGAGTTTTCCTACTGATATAGTAACAAAGTAAGTGTAACTTACCCATGCAGAAGGAGAAAAGGACACAGATCCACAGGAAAATGGCAGGAATGCACCGGGAGGTCATAGCTGTGCTCTGGTAAGTCATGCCTCTGTTAATGCTGCTTCCTTGTCAGGATAGAACACTTTGACTGCTGTTCCTCTGTTCTGCCTCCAGCCCAACTTGGGTCTCTGTAACTCCATGTGGTCTTTTATAGCTATGTCCACTTTCAGTTTTAGTCACAAATGCATGCTGGCACAAAGCCCATAGTCTGACATTTTCTGTTTGGATGTGTGTGTGATATTACGTAACCTCTGGATTGCCTCCAGGAGTCCAAAGGCAAGCATTTAGGTGAAAGCTCTGCAAGTTCTCCCTGTGTAGCGTGAAATACCACACACAGTCTAAAGACATGACTAACTGACGGCTCTAAATATATACAAGTTATCTATTGTAGGAGATTATAGGAGAAACAGACAGCATCTATAGTAGAAAAACTGATCAGATCTTCGGCTGAAACAGATCTAATCTTATTGTTACACCCCAACAATGTAAGACTATAATTAATGTCACATTCTCATGAGTGGATTAATGGGGTAAATGCGAGCAGCTATAAGTTATGTTTTTGCAATAGATTTTCCATTTCCTGCTTATTCCTGAGTTGCAGAGCCCCAAAGCTAAAAATGACCATAACCTTCAACTTCAGTATTACCGTAAGTGATGTTTAGTGAAATGCCCCTATTGTGGATTCATAACATGTAATAATTTACATTTAAAAGTGGGGGTTCAGTCTCCAAAGAGGTGCTGATTGCAGTTTCAATGTCTCCCCCAACCCGAAAATTCCCTCTTGCGTCAATGTTAGGAAATTGTAAAAACATGTGCCAGGGATTTTCCGTCACACTTCTTTATTTTATTTTTTTTATTATTAGTTGCAAGCATGTTATCATAGTACTCCTGACAAGAGCAGTACGCTGGGGGGAGGGGGGGTGCCACCAATAAAGTATGTACAGTGTAGTTCTGTAGTTCATATACTGCAGTTTTATCATTTGTACAGCACTTATAAAAGCTAAGGAGTCACTGACTGAAGATAAGAGTGCACATATTTTTAATCATTAGAGGCATATTTAAGACTTCAGGAAGTCCAGTGTAGCACACTCTCTGCTAGTGATCAACAGCTGCACTGTGGAAGCAGCGAAAGGCACCAAGTTCCTTGGGGTGCACATAGCAGATGATCTCACCTGGGCCAACAACATCACCTCCCAAATCAACAAGGTACAGCAGGGCCTACACTTCCTCCGCCGACGGAAAAGAGCACTGCTCCCCTAAAATGTGCTTGCAGCTTTCTACAGGGGAGCCGTAGAGAGCATCCTAACCAGCTGCATCGCTTTTGCAAAGCTTCAGACCACAAGTTCCTCCAGCAAATAATAGTGTGGACATCAGGAAAGATCATAGGACCCTCTCTACAATCACCAAGGACATCTACAACAAGCACTGCAGAAACAAGGCCCGCTATATGAAACAGTACCACTCGCATCCATCCAGCAGCCCGTTCATCCCATTTCATCTGGATTTAAGGTTCTTGTGTCTGGTCCACCAGGTCCTGGTTTCCCCCAGACTATCAGACTCCTCAGCTCTCATCTACCTCATAAACACTAATGGACAAGGGTTCCACTTGCATATTGGCACTCTGAAGTTAGTTTGCACTGTCTACTCTCTATATGCACTGTCTAGTTCTACTGTTTACTTTCTCATTGAAGTCATTGTTGTGTATTCTTGTGTATTGATTTTCTTTATCCAGTATTTGTTGTTCAGTATTTAATGTTCAACTCTTCTTTGGTCAGTCCAACATTCTGTCAAAACACAGCTTTGTTGAATGTGAGTGAAATAACAATAATGTGACTTGACTAGTACATAATATATATATATATACACTCACCTAAAGGATTATTAGGAACACCTGTTCAATTTCTCATTAATGCAATTATCTAATCAACCAATCACATG